GGTCGGGGACCTGGAAGCGGCGCCTCCCGCCCGAGGGCGGCACCGGGAGGTGGTGGTCGCCGCCGGGCAGGGGTCCGTGCCTCGTCCGCGGGTCGGGGAGCCGAGGCTCAACCGGTAGCAGCCCTCTCGGGGGAGATGCTGGAGAGCGGTCAGCGGGGGACCGGGCCCTGCTCCTGAGCAGCGAGGGCAGGGGAGAGGGCAGTGGAGCGAGGCCTGTGCCTTCCTTGGGACGGGGTTCGTCTTTGGCGGGGGGAGAGGGTGGAAAGTGGGGTAGCCTTGGCTGCTGTGGCATGGGGGGGGAGTGTTAATCCCTTCGGGGTGGAGAGGGATGCGCTTCTTGCCAGCTCCTGCCGTCTGTCTCCGTCCCAACGTGACGGAATCGTTTCTCCCAGGCTTTGATCGGAGCACCATTGCTGGAGGATAAAACACATATTTATTTTCTTTAAATATCTTTTTGTAGCCGTTGAGACAAAGAGGAACTGTCTTTATAGATAGAAGGGCAGCCCTTCCAGTCTCCTAGGAGGGAGACCTTTCTCCCAAAAAAGGGAGAAGGACCGTGCAGGGGAGTTGTAGGAAATGGGAAAAAGCTTATTGACCTCTTTTTTTTCTGTGGGAGGCAGAGCGAGATACGTGTTTGATTATTGAGGTGTGGATTTGTCCATCCCGATTGTATCTGGAAGAGCAGCTCTTTTGCTTCTTAGGAGGCAAGTTAGGACAGATGAATAGATAATTCATTAAGTTTTCTTCAAATTATCCTACGATTCCGATCTTAAGGTAATTTGCTGCTTGAACGGTGTTGACAAATGAATTGGAAATGCTTACTTGAAAGGTATGCTATTAACAATAAAATAAAATAAATCCCTTCTGTGGGACAGGCGTTTCTTCTAGCCAGACTGGGGGGAGTTGCAGGTATCAGGATTAGAGTATTTTACAGATGAGGTTTCTTCCCTCTTCCCTTGAAATTCCTGAATGTGTGTGAATTTTTACTTAAAAATTATTTTATCTTTCCCTCCCAAATGAAAACTGTAGTGAAGCATTCTTCCTGTTATTGGTATGAAATGTACTAATTTAATCTTAGAAGTTAAAAGAATCAGCCTGTCTGTTTTTTTCTGTATTTTGAGGGGCAGAGAATCACAGGTCTGATCCCTGAGTAATTTCTTGGCCGAAAAAATGTGTCTTTTAAACTCCTGTCATCTGTAGAGTCAGAGACACATACTGGGGCCCATGCTGATCTAGGCATCACAGTATTCGGGATCTTTGTCTCAAGTTTCACCAATTGCTTGTAAGTTTTGTTAATTAAACGCAGCATTATTGTGAAATATTTGTGCTAGCTCTCTTCTGGTGGGAGCTGAAGTTCGCCATATTGCTAAAGAGCCACAGGCAGTACGCTGAATTACTTCCTATTCTGTATTGTCACGTACTTACATTGACGTTACAGCAGTGATAGCATTGAGAGTTGTAGAGAATTCGTGCTGCAGAGAGCAATAAAAAGTCAGTGGGTTATGGAGGTCAGGCAGGTTTTGTTTTTCACTTCATAGATGTTGTTCCAACGGGTAAAGCTGTTATTACGTGTTGGTCTTGATACCTTACTAAGAAAGGAAGAGGTTTTTTTTCCCCCCCTCAGCATTTTGCTTTTTTGAAGAAAAGCTAAGATGAATTCTTTGTCCTATTTCGGCTTCTTTATTTCAGGTTAAGGGGCAGGAGCAGCATAAAGGGTCTGTGAAGGCTTTGATCCACCTGTGGGATGAGTTCAATAGCACAGGGGTGGCAGCAGCAATGTAGGATTGGCTGACATTCGTTCACAGCCATTGAATTGCGCAGACAGCTGTTTGCATGGCTGCGCTGCGTTCTGGATTGGGAAACAGTCAGAATTTTAAAAAATAATACTTTCTTTCAGTGATTTAAGCTAGGAGCAATGTCCTGAATATGGTTCCTAGCAGAGTTTAGGAAATATGTAGGGGACAGGATGGGAAGTCTCCTTAGCACGGCATTGCCACTGAAGCTCTGGCATCAACCATCTGCCTAAAGGAACTGAAGATGACTGCCACTACGTGGTGGTGTACTAGGTATGCTGGAGGAGGGGTGCGTTAGGAAAGTAATGCGCCGCATAATGCGATGTGGGGAGAGCGCGAGGGAAGACTGATAATTCAGGCAGCCCTAGGACTTGCCTGGCTTGGCAGACGAGGGGCCTGGGACCAGCCTGGCTTTGAAAATGTGGGTGGAAAGTAAGACTGCTGTTGTGCCTCTTGCCCTCTTCCCCATCCCTCCCCAGTGGAAAAACCTTGTGCTGACTCTTCTGAAGGAATGCACAGGAACTCAACCTTCAGTCAGGAAAGATCCTAAAATGTTGCGTTCTAGAGAATCAGCCAGGACTTAATGCTAGACATACAAACCTCAAAAAATAAACAATATAAATATGAAACTTTGAGTTTGACAGGAAGGCTCTTCAGACAGGAGCTCTCAGCCTGGTTAGTAAGTAAATGAGTCCAGAAAGTGAAACTAAATTAACTAAAAATGCTGTTTCACTTTTGTAGAAGCCTACCAGTTTGAATACAGGACAGACAAAAAGAAAAAAAAAAAAAGGAGGGATTTTGAATATATATTAAACTGGCTTTAGATTTGGGATTAATAACCTGTGTTAGGGTTTCATTTTACTTTGAAGCATGCTCACGTGATTGGTTTGGGTCCTAATATTCCAACACATTAGAAGGTTATTCTAGTCCTAAATGGAAAGAAATCATCTCTAACTTAAGATGAGCTCAAGCTTTGTGAATATTACCATATCGTGCATTAAGCTGCTTATTTAGTCTTTGTGGTGGAGTGAATGCTGATACATGCATATTTTTTTCCAAATACGAGTATTTTAATGTCTATTGAGAAGAAAAGATTTTTGACTGAAAAGCTTGATTAGTAGTTGAAAGCGAATGCTGTTTATTCAGCCATTATAATGTTTGAATAAAATGTAAGTTTTATGAATGAGATCTTCTGATTCCAAAAACTTGGAAGAGCTGGGGTCAGACTTTTGTGTTGAAAAGACAGGCAGCTAAATACCTACTGTAATTTCCAGAAGTGCTGAGCTCCTGGTGTTACTTTATTTTGTTCCATGATAGGATCCACCAGTCAGGTTGCAACAGGATTCTAAACAGGCAAAACTAATGGGAAAATGATGAGGTAGGGGTTTTTTTGGGGGGGGGTATTTATTTTTTTTTTTTTTAACTAACTTGCTGAAAAATAAGAGAAATACCAGGGCTGCCGTGTGGGAAAAAGGGGGGTCATGTTTGGTTAGAGGTGGGCTGGAAGAGGTAGGGACATAGTATCCCTGATTTTGGTTGGCATAGCTTGGTTTAAATTTCAAGCTGATGTTAATGTTGGGTTGAGGAGGGATGGTCAATGGCTGAGGTGGTCTAACAGCTCCTAGCTGCCTGGAAAGGGAGATCCTGCTCCTTCTGCTGCTTTTGCTTAGAAGCTCTGTGAACTTCTACCATGGGCTGATTCGGCTCCCTAGCTTAGAAAGAAGTGAAAAGCTTCCTGCAGGGTAACCCGTTGTATCAGCTAATAGAAAGATCCAACAGAGACTTCAGCTGGCGTGAGGGGTGGCATGGGGCAGCAGAACCAGTCGTGGAGATCAGTGGGAGGATGACCTATTCCTCCTTCCAAAAATGTCAAGCTATGAGATTGACTCAGCTTCTCCTCGGCCAGTACCCTTGTCTTGTGGAGCTCTGACTCTGATTGCAGGAAGCTCTTCACCGTTACTGTTGCTGAAAAATACGATCCTGTTTTTCCCAACTCTTCAGCAGGCGGTTGACCACCTTCATGCCAGCTCCTAGTGTTTCTCACCCCTCAGTGAGGTTATTCAGCTTTCTGACCTGCTACAATAAGAACTTAAGTTTTTCCTTCTGCAGAGTGTATTTCTGTGGGGTTAAAAATTTGAACTGGTGGCCTAAGGTGTCAGGCAAGTATGGGAAGAAGCAGGAGCGTGCATGTCTTGGAGAGGAGCAGGACCACTTCTCTTCTGGTGTCGGTGGACGGTTAAACTGACTCAGCCTGATTTCTTTGAATGCACTTTAATGTTTGGATTTCTGAAAGTTTAGTTGCTTTTGGCCAGAAAATCAGTTTATTAACCTTGTGTGGCAGTGCTTTAATAAGTCATCTTTAAATTCATAATGTCTGGTAAATTTTTCCTTTTTTTCTGAATGTTATACTTCTTTCAGTTGAAGAGTTTTAAACTTTGTGAATGTAACTGAATTCTAGTTTTCATATGCAGCTCGAAACAACTTCAGGACATAATGTTTAAGAAATACATGATCTAATAACCATTGCTAATGACTTTTTAACATTCTTAATCTTTGTATTTTTATTAAGCTGTGCTATTACCTTTAAACAATGTACGTAAATGCGTAATAGCCTCCCCTGTAAGAAGCAGTAGTAAAGGTAACACGATCACTAATGTGGTTGCGAATTGAGGTGTTTAAACAGGAAGGGGGGACAGAGCTTTTGAATAACACCTGGATATAAAATGAGGTCAAAATAGATTAAATCAAGGTTTCCTGCTGACTGATCTAAATCATGATTAGAATTGGCGATTCACATCAGTCCATCCTGTTGAGCGCAAATTTTTTTTTTTGTCATTTGATCTTAGCTTTAACTAATATAGTCTTTTTTGTTTGTTTCATTTTGGAGCAGTTTTTGTAGAATACTTCAGAGAAGTATCTGTGAACCTAATGTAGATCTGGGAATTCAG